ATCAACTGACTATACCTGTCTAAGTTGCCATCCGATACCAGAAGATATCCCTAGGAATTTTAGAAATTTTTGGAATTAGATTAGCACAGAATTTGGAACTGTCATATTCACAGAAAAAACTCTGTCGTTATTTGATCAACTATTAGATAAACTTGTCACTCTAATCTTTCTGAAACAACTGCAAATTGATACAACTACAGTAGCTTATCAAAAACTATTACAAATTAGAGTCGAAAAATTATTATATAGTTTAACTTTTATCAACCCTAAAATACTTAGACCAGATTCAGAATTTGTTACTTTAAGCGTAATTAAAGCAGCGAAAGAGTTAAGCTTTTTTAAAGAACCAGTTAAAATCCAATTTGATTCAATAGTACCATTAGAAATAAGCCCTATTCTGAAACCAATCGATATCATAATAGGAGAAGATAAAAGTAACAATCAACAAAGTGGATCAAAGTTATCTAAACAACCATCTAAACAACTACCTAAACAACCATCACATAGCGGCTCTCAAGATGGATGGAGAGGTGATGATAAAGAATATGGAATTGGAAATAATGAAGCATTAGATGATAATAGTATTGCAGTAATTATTAGACAAATGAGTGATTCTTTTAAGGGAATTGCTAAAGAAATTCGAGATGCTCGACCACTGGCATACTCTAGGGAAACTAATATCATACAAGTACAACTATTCTGGGGAAATGATAGTGAAGACCCAGAGAAATGGCTTAAGCACTTTGAAACAGCTGCAACAGTGAACAATTAGACATTTGAAAGGAAATGTAGTATTGTCGCAGGGTATTTAAGAAGACCAGCAGCATTATGGTATGATAATATAGTAAATACTGTTCGTTATTGGAGTATACAAGGGCAAAACAATACAAGTTTTGTCCCTATATTTAGAGCTCATTTCACTATAGCTAGGCAAAAGAATAAATGGCATTATGAGCTATCCAATATCAAACAAATGACAAATGAAAGCATAGATACTTACAGTGCTAGATTTAATAACCTTAAAAGATTAGTTGACCCAGGTGATCATTTACCACATGATTACGAAATTAGATTATTTTTAAATGGATTAAAACCTAACATTGCAGCAAGAGTCGCAATAGCAGATCCTGGTAATCTTAGAGCAGCTGTGAATGAAGCTAAAACAACTAAAGCGGGAACATATTACATAAAAGAATTCCCACAAGTCACTAATAATGATGCAATTGAAGCTTTGACAAAGCAAATGGAATAACTCTCCCTTAATTATGCGAATATTGTCAATGTATTAGCAGTACAAAATGGGACTCCAAGGACCACAAATATCCACCCTAAAAGTACAAATGTTACAAGGAATAATAATAATAGAAGATCTTTTGACAAAAGCTAAGTAATTTGTTGGCAATGTGAGGAAAAAGATCATTATTCTAGGGAATGCTTATCTGAAAGATCTTCCAAAATAAAGCCAAGAAATGTTAATTTAATTGAAGTTTTTACTGATGACGAAGAGAAAGAGGAAACATCTGAAGTATATGCAAGAGAAAGATCTCGACCATATCCTACTGACAGAAAGAATACAAGAATACGACAAAGAAAAATGACTAGAACTTCTGAGTTGAATAAAGAAATGAATCTTAGAATTCATGTCATTAATCCAATTGAAATAGAAGTAGAATCCACTCCTAAACAAAAACCAGTTAAAAGAGCACGAAATCCTTCCAGAATTGATAATCTTGCACCATATAATATAGCTGATGATATCCTATTAAAGCAATCTTTTGCGATCTTAGGACAATGATTATAAATACCAGCCTAAAGGAGAAATTTAGCAAATACCTTAAGATGTCATCTTATATCAACACCTAGTGTTAATTCTTTAGAATTCATAGATGATGAATCAGAAACGAAAACAACTTCCTGCAAAGTATATATTAGGATTAAGAATAACCCTATCGAAGTTATAATTGATACAGGAGCAGCTGTCAGCATTATTACTAACAAGTTAGCTAAAAAGTTAGGACTTAATATTGATAAACCTTCTAAATTAATTGTGACTACAGCTAATGGAAGTTGTGTAAGAGCATTAAGACAAATTACTGAAGCAAGAATAATTATATAACACATATCAGTTCTAGTAGAACTTCAAGTAATTGAATCGCCACAGGATACATTGTTATTAGGAGTAGATTGGTGTAGAAAAACTAAAATGAATCTTAACTTTAGTACACAAACTGCTTTTATTTTATATATTACTAAATGAGCTACTTTTAACATCCTTTTTGAAGAGGGAATGGTAGATGAAAGAGAAAACTTAGATCAAGTCTTAGATGAATATAAGGAAGAAGACTTGGATGAATATGACGTATTTTTAAGCAAAGTTGAAAATAATGCTCAACCAAAATATATAATGAATATCATGTATAACCACCAGGATATTATCATGTCACAAAGAATAAATCCACGAAAAGAAATGTATAAAATGTGGCAAGTGCTAGACGGAAAAGTGGAATCTAATGAAACGTCACTTCAAGCAGTATTAAGAGAAACATATGAGAAAACAGGCATTCCAATTAAATCTGAAGATATAGAGTATCTCTTTAATAATGACTTTTATGATTATGATGTATATATTACTAAAATTGCACTAAATTAGACCTTTGAACAAACTGAACCAGAAAAGCAAGGAAAATGGTGACCATTTTGTTTTGAAGAATATGCAGATATGGCAGAACAAAGTGAAACAACTCCCACTTATACTAAATATGCAGACAGAATCTTGAAAGAAATTCGTATAAAGATATATAAAAATAAATACCCAAGTGTATATCTAGCTGACTTGCCAAAGGAGGAACAAGAAAAACCTAAATTAAAAGTTAGACCATTGAATGCCTATCAACAAAATACATTTCAACAAACCCTCAAAGAAAATAGTGATTTGTGTGCTAGAAGTCAAACAGATACAGGACGAACTGCTATTAT